ATAGCTAGGTGTAAACATGTTTGTCAGAGCATCTTACATCAGATGAGCGCAGATGATACGAAAGAACAGTCTCTTTCTCAGGCATTACGATGCACTTTCTCTTCTATTTATCTAACAATGACGAAACAAACACGGGGACAAAACAAATAAATTTAAATTTGCATATACAGAGATAAAACAAAGAATATTTCAAAAACAAACGCACAAAAGCAACACGCACGCACGCACGCACGCACACACACAAACACATTAATCGCCTTTAATAATGAGTTTTTTTTCAATTACAATACGGAGAATGATAAGAGGACTGTGAACCCCTCTCTCCCCCCCCCCCTATGTATACACTGCTTAAGCTGGTCCCAACGAGAGGATGCTAACAAAAATGAGAAAAAAAAATGAAATCCCCCTCCCGTCCGTTTACTCAGTTTTAAGTTCGCGAGGTTAATACAAATGGAAATTTCGACTGCAGGCATTCAGAGACACTGAATAACTCATTACAACACTGCACACACCCCGGAGGCCTTTCTAGCTCTTACTTGGATCGACTGAGTCAACACAATGATTGCATGAGCACGGGATGGATCTGTGCCTATACGGGATATCCAGCGTTATATATATATATATATGACCCATGTAATGATCGGCTTCAAAACTCTACGGTGCGACGCTGCCCGCTTTCACTTTAGTTGCTGCGTGGTTCCGCTGACAACACAATTAATTTCAGAGATGCAAAGTGATTCATGTTCGGAAGCTTCCAATTTACTGTTTATAAATACAACACTTTGCCCAATAATACAATTACCTGCTCCAGACGCTCGCAATGTGTTTGATATTTGGCAATTTCTTGAGGGCAGCTATTTCACAGGATGCTTTAAAATTACTAGATTTTACTATGCACTCTCCATGCCCTGGTAAATGGAAAGGGTAACAAGAGAATAATGCCTAACGCTATCTTTTATATTTTCCTATTTACTTTTTTTTCTGTAGGAACAATTTACAAAGATTATGTAAAAGTATATTAGGACTTAGATGCATTTTCTCATACTCCGTCTTTGTAACCAATTCTACTAACAACCAAAAGCAATATAACTGGCCCATTTCTCCGAACATTTAAATTCTTACACCCTACCTTGCCCCATTCCAAATCCTAGCTCCTGAAAGTCTAAGCCTAAATTCCGACGCAAACAAGCAAATCACAAATCAAACAATACCTCAAACAAACAAACAAATAAACTCACACCAAGCTAAGGCCAAAAGAAATCCGCCATTTTCCTTTTCAAAACATAATCCACCCAAGAAGCAACAACGAGAGAGCGTCACACGGCCTGTATCTACGCCACATGATCAAAGCGCGGGATATTCAAATAAGAAACGCTCCAATTTGCATCAGATAGCACTTAGCGGCGCTGTATAAAACAAGAAAGGAAAAGAAAAGAAAAGAGAAATCCTCCGCCAACCCCTTTCATCTTGCGTGTGATGTGTGTAGTGTAGTGTAGTGCTCTTTACGTATTTAAGTTTACAGTATGTCTATGTACATATGTACGTATGTACGTATGTACGTATGTACGTATGTACGTATGTAAGTATGTATGTATGTATCTGTGTGTGTGTGTGTGTGTGTGTGTGTGTGTGTGTGTGTGTGTGTGTGTGTGTGTGTGTGTGTGTGTGTGTGTGTGTGTGTGTGTGTGTGAGTGTGTGTGTGTATATATGTGTGTGTGTGTGTGTGTGTATATATGTGTGTGTGTGTGTGTGTGTGTATGTGTGTGTGTGTGTGTGTGTATATATGTGTGTGTGTGTGTGTATATATATGCGTGTGTGTGTGTGTATATATATGTGTGTGTGTGTGTGTATATATATGTGTGTGTGTGTGTGTGTATATATATGTGTGTGTGTGTGTGTGTATATATGTGTGTGTGTGTGTGTATATATATGTGTGTGTGTGAGTGTATATATATGTGTGTGTGTGAGTGTATATATATGTGTGTGTGTGAGTGTATATATATATATATATATATATATATATATATATATATATATATATATATATATATATATTATATACATATATACGCACAAGCGTCTGTATGTGCATGTGTATGTTGTATGTGTATACGTATGTACATGTGCATAACTATGTACAGGTGCAAGTAAATGCATATGTACATATACATGTACATGTATGCGCACTCATATGCGAACGTGTAAACGTATGTGGTTTATAACTGTAAGTGCAAGCCTAAACAAAATGAAAAGTGCAAGCGCAATTTCAAATGGTAGTTCAAGTATGTAAATGAACGCATCCACAAAGCCCAAGTGGACCCGACCGATATCTAATGCGAACACCGAAATCTGCATAAATAAATAGGCCTCAAGCACATACAACGCCCAGGAATCACATATACAGAAACGGGTTATGTGTGCACGCGCGTAATTACATTTCCTTGCAGGCCATTAGAACGGGCGAGGCAAGGCGAAGCGAGAGGAAGGGAGGGGGAGGAGAGGAGAGGAGGAAAAGTGGGGAGGGGGAGGAGAGGAGGAGGAGGAGAGGAAGGGGAGGAGAGGAGGAGGAAAGGGGAGGAGAGGAGGAGGAAAGGAGAGGAGAGGGAGGAGAGGAGAGGAGAGAAGTGGGGAAACGGAGGAAAGGAGAAGTACGAAAAAGGAAAGAGGAAACGACGACCAAGGGGGAAAAATGAAAATGAAAATAAAAATAAATAAATAAATAAATAAATAAATAAATAAAAACAAAAATAAAAATCAAGTGCAGGCAGAATGTACTCATTATCTACACGGCTTTTTCCCTGCATATATTGGCTACGCGAAGGAAACCCTAACCCGGATTCAAAAGAAATATATGTATAAATTACGCGAACTTAATATGAATACAAATTCTAAGGATAAAGGATAATATGCACCGCCACGCGAAAAAAAAGATAATAAAACACAAGAAACAAACACGCAAATCAGCTCCACGAAACCAAACCAGCGGATAAACGGACGGACGGGGAGTGATGGAGGAAGGGAGTGGGGGTAGGGAGGGAGGGGAGGGGAGGGGAGGGGAGGGGAGGGGGGAGTAAGGGAGGGGAGCGGGGAGGAGTAAGGGAGGGGAGGGGGGAGGAGTAAGGGAGGGAAGGGGGAGGAGTAAGGGAGGGGAGGGGGGAGGAGTAAGGGAGGGGAGGGGGGAGGAGTAAGGGAGGGGAGGGGGGAGGAGTGAGGGAGGGGAGGAGGAGGAGTGAGGGAGGGAGGGAGGGAGGGAGGGAGGGAGGGGGACTTCGCGGGCGTCTTGAGGGAAAGAGTCGGTTAAGCGCTCGCCCGGCCCGCCCATGCCCTGCTGGGATTATCTGCCCTGGAATAACACGGGAAATTAGTTCCCTGGGATCGAC